GGTGCGGGCGGGGGCTCGGCGGCCGCTCTGAGCGCACGTGCGCCCTTGTCGCCTAGGCTCGTGGTGGGGGCGCCCACTGCCACCTGGCTCGCCAACGCGTCGGTGGTCCATCCCGGGGCGATTTACAGATGCAGGATCGGAAAGAATCCCAGCCGGACGTGCGAACAGCTCCAGCTGGGTGAGTCGGGTCTGGGCATAGGAGTTGGTGACCCCTCTCCCCTGGTGGACCCCGCTGGAGGGAAAATCCTGGGAAAATGTCGTGACCCGTTTCCTCTCCTTCAATTCGCACCCCCTCCCCGCTTCTTTCTGTCCGTATTTTTCTCCTTTTAGCTTATGACCTGAGTGCTGTACAGGACATAATTCTGTTGAGGGAAGTTTCTTAAACCGTATCTTCTCTTCCAGCTCTGCCCCTTCCTTATTGTGTAAAGCACACTTTAGGCTCTCCCAGCGTGTTAGGCTACAGCGAAGCCAAGAGTTATTTTATTTCCACCTGTGACCTATTAACTTTGTGAATGTACAGGCTAAAAGGCAAATCAGGTGTAGTAGTTGGAATCGATCCCGTTTTCTGCCATTTTAGCCTAAGGACCTTTTGGGTTTAAAGGAAGTGATATCTTTTTTTTGCTTAGAATATACAATGTAAATGAAGAGGCTAAAGAAAATTTGGCATCTCCCGTGTTAGTAGTTATCATGAGGTTTAACATATAATTATTAATTGCCCTTTTAAAAAAAACTCCCGTGATAAATGGGTCTGAATTTATGCTGCCATTTCTTAAGGTCTTTTCCTAGGCTTATGCCAACTTGAAAGTGTGTACTATGGGGGAGGGGAGAAGTTTCATATTTCAAAGCCAAAAGCCCATTTGCTACAACGAATACACGAAGAGAAAAAGGGGAACCGATATTAATTCGGGCCTATCTCGTTCCAAACACCGTCAGGCACTGCTGTATACACTGCTTAATTTTTTTTCCCCTCAGAGCAACCCCGGGTTATGTACTGTTTCTATTTCGTATACGAGGTCTTTGACGCACACTGGCGATGCCTTTTTCCAAAGTCACTGACCTGGTGAGTGGCAGCTGGGACACCAAGTCACAGTCAGGTTCGCTTGGGTACAAAGTGTAAGCCTTTTTATTTGACGCGCATAGCTTCAGTGCAAACAAATTAAAGAAAGGCTCCAGTACGTTGTGTGCTGAACTGATGGATTCTCTGTAAGTGGCAAATTAAAGGTCATCACAGATACTTTTCTCATATTTATCTTCACTCTAGATGGACTTTTGAGAATAGCTACCAACTGCACCTTTAGCTACTTTTTAAAAATGGTGGTCTTTGCCTTTTCTCAAACTGTGGGGCTGGTTTTCCACATTCTGAAGAATTCAAATTGAGCATGACCATGATCAATTCTTTGCTTTTATCTCAGAGCACACCCATAGAAGTCCAGGACTTGTCTATAGCATGCAGAATAGGTCCCAACCTTGTGTAAGCATCCCCCATCCCAAAACGCGGATGAGGGATGCATACAACATTCACAGACCAATAAAGTGGAAATCATTTTCTAAAGCTTAACTTTCATTTCAGGACAGAATTGAGGGAAAAAGAATTAGGGAGTGAAGCAGCCAACCTTGATCTGCCGGCAGATTTGACAAGGTCTCAGTAGGGAACAATTTCGCTTTTGTTGCTCTGCCATAGTTTCCAAGTCTGTGACATTATAACTGTCACTAGTGAGCACCTATTTCCTGTCTGCAAGACACAGAATCTATTTCTGGATGTGTATGTTTAACTGGAAAGATCGTGTCATAATATTACATAAAATTTTAGATAACAAGGGCAGTTGTTTGAAGGAAAACTAACATTCTCTGGACATTTGGAGTGCAGGGATTCGCTACAGTAATATTCTTAGAGAAATGTAACCAAGGTAGATGTATAAAGAACAAACTAAATGGACATTTATTGCATGGATGAAGAAAAGTGAATTGAAAGTTTGGTATCAACTTGACTACTTTATAAAAGAACTCATTAGAAATGATAAACCAAAGTGATATTTTTAACTTTCAGAATTTTGGTCAATAAAAAAGGAACCTACTTAGATGAAAGGCAAAAAGGAATATAAAATTCCTAATTAGTCCACTGATTAAAATATTAATAGCTGTAGCAGTAGTTTTAAATATTTGTAAAATAGTTTCCTGAAGTTCTTTTGTTGTTGCTTTTTTTTAGGGTTTGGGGGCATTTAGAGTTTTTAGTAGTCCATATTTGCAGTACACTATGTCTGCATTCCTGGTGTGGAGTTGGTACAGGTACACAACTCATCCTAACTCCTCTTCCCTATGTGTTGATTCTCTTCCCACTTGAGAAAGATCTATCTAGATTGCATATCATGTAATTTCCCTTCTATTACAGCATGTGAGTGTGTGCACACCCCTATAGATAGCATATGCTCCTTCCGCTGCCTCTCTCATATTGCCTTTCTATTCAAGGGAATAGAAACAAAAAGAAAAAGCAAAACAAAAGATAGATAGTAGGAAGTAGGGTGACTGAAGTTATTTCTCATGTAATGTTCTGCACGGTTCACCTGCCCTTCCTTGTATAAAGAAACTGTGCATCTCCATGTAGAACAAATTCAAAAGTAACTTAAAGCTGTAAGAGAAAAGATTGAGCCCACCATCTAGAAAGAAAACACTGAAGAGAACAAGCTGGTGGAGCTATTTTAGGATTGTAGGAGTTGTGGGATGTGTACTGTCTCTTTTGAAGCAGTTTTGCCTGTATGTGTAAGAGAGGCAGAGAAAGGAGAGTATGCTATCTAGAGGGGTGTGTGCACATGCACACACACATGCATGCACATACATGCACACGCACATAGAGAGCATTCTATGTAGAATAGCTTTAATTGTCTTGTCCCAACTGTGGGTGATTGTAATGTCTGGAAAACGTTTGATACCTAAGAGACATTAGAAATGAGTCTATTTACTTTCTACTTCAGTCTGTATTTGTAAGTTTGTTTATAATGAGCAAGTCGGAGTAAACACATAGACTGTATTAGTTAACTTTCCCATTGCTGGGACGCTGTATGTGGCACCAAAAACTTAAAGAGATTTTATTTGCCTCTTGGTTTCAAGAGATTCAGACCATGGCAGGTGGCTCCAAGGCAGGAGCATGTCAGCGGTGCACAGCTGCTGGGTTCATGACAGCAGGGAAGCAGAGCAGGGCAATAGTGCCAGTGAGAAAAGGGCCAGGGACAATATATGGTACCCAAGATCATGCCTCCTTGACCCAAGCAGACGTCCTCACAAGTGTGTGTCACTTATACCCTAGTTGGCTCCCAAGCCAATCAAGTTGACAAGCTTAAACATCACAAGGGCCAACTAATACACTAAACCAAATGTGAAAAATTAAGAGTATGAATGAAAAGGTAACAGTTGAAATAAAATATGACAAAAATATTTCCTTGTTGGCGCACCAAAAGTGTTACATAAGATCAAGCTGTGAGTGCTGTCAGTAAGGTGTCCCGTTTCATTTGGAGTAACTTGCTGTCTTGAATGCAAAGATACAGGGTCTCTTAGAATAGTGCTCGTCTCCTATGAAATTCAGAACATCTGTGTTGTCTAATCTCCAAGTCTCTGTGGAATGTCAGGTCAGTGGCTGATTCAGATGGACTCCTTTCCTCGGAAAAGGTTACTAGCTCCCTGCTGTACCCTTCTCTGTAGATGACGTTGTGTTCCGTGCTATATTTACTGTAATCAGAATCAAACAGTAAATGGCCATTTATCTAGACTGCTCAGCATGGGTGATGTTGGGAATTTCCTTTTAGCAAAGTGAACTGGCTCAGAAGTGGCACCAAGAGAGCTGTCTCTATTGCACAGTAAGGTGCTCTTCTTCCTTCGTACTCGGGCTTCTTCCGTCTCACTGGCTGCCTGAGAGCTATCCCCTTCTTACTTCCTTAGCAATTCCCGCCGTGAACCAAAGGAAGGTGGTCTCCCCAACAGGAGGGCCTGGGCCCAGACTTTCTCATGAAGAATTGGAAGAGGCCATGGTGATTCCCACTGTCCACTTTCTTTTCCATTCAGTACTGTGTGTCTCCCTGAGGTTTGTTCAGAGGAAACTTTGATCACAAATGGTTGCTGAATTAGGACATTACCAATAATGACTCCATTATAGTTACATGAGTCCATCCACTGACTGTCAACAATCAAAGCATTAGAACATAGTAAAATACATTAATAACTATGAAATTATACTTCCAAGTCTTTGATTATTTGAACAACATTCTAGATCTTTCCATATTTTGCTATTACACACACATACCTACCCTTTATAATGGTATAGTTTGATTTCAAATAAATAGGATACAAAATTAATTACATTTCAAGTAAATAGATTTAATCTCAAATATTTATTTTCAAATAAATAAGATGTTTTCCTATTTAAATATTTATTTTCAAGTAAATAGGATATAAAATTATGTTTCAAATAAATAGATTTTAAATAAATAGGACATAAAATTGATTACATTTGAAGTAAATACTTAGTTAATATTTTATTAGTCATTTCCCCATTGCTGGGACAAAATAACACACTCAACTTAAAAGAGGAGAGGTTTATTTTAGATCACAGTTTCAGAGGATTTAATCTATGCATAGTTGGCTGGATTTAAGGCAGAAATGGCATGGGAGGAGGGCATGGGAAAAAACTGTTCACCCCACAGTGGCCAGGAAGCAGAGAGAGAAGAAGGAGCTAGAGACAAGAATATACCCTTCCAGGGGGCTGGGGATTTAGCTCAGTGGCACAGCACCTGCCTGGCAAGCGCGAGGTTGTGAGTTTGATTCCCAGTACCAGAAACAAAACAAAAGAAAACAAAAAAAACAAAAAAACGAATATACTCTTCCAAGTCACCGTCTCAGTGACCCTCTTCTCTCACCTCCCAATAGCACCTGCAGCTATGAAATCCTCAGGGGATTAACCCACTGGTGACTGTGGCATTCCCATGGTCTAATCCCTTCCAATAGCCCCTCCTCTGGGACATTTTAGATTCAAACCATAACATTCCATCCTTGGCCCCCAAAAGTCCCATCTCCATCTTACTGTGAAAAATGCATTTAGTCCATATGTAAATGTTGCCTGCTGTAACAGTTCCAGCACTTCTGAAAAGTCTAGTCCCCTCTGCAACTTAAGGCAAACTCTTAGCTGTGAGC